GACGGGCGCATTTGGCCCCGCGCACAGCAAGAATCCAGAGAGTGGGTACGGGTGATTATATTTGAGGATGCGGAATTGACGAAGAAGAACGTTGCGTGTACCGTGAGCGCTGCGGATATACCCGTGAACCCGTGATAGTATCTGGGTCAAGGTTCAGGTTACCGCGGCGCGGCGAGGCGGTCAGCAGGAGCGACGCACTGTTCGGTTGACGACGTGCGGTAGGAATATACGGCGACCACGCAGAATACACTACGGTCCACGACGCTTACTTACCGGCCATCTCGCATACGAGACACTACGCAATCAGAGAGATTCGCACGCGAGCTTACTCCCGGTGCGAGCTCCAATACACCACCTACTCGACCAGAGGATACACGCGCGCGGCGCGCCACGCCGGCGACCAGGAACCAGGAAACCTTTCACGCTTATTTACAACGCTTTGCGCAACCTTTTATCCTGTCACATATTCGTCCATCTAGCCCGCCACTGATCTGAACGCGATCGCCAACTTTCAATGGCGGAATTCACGAACGCATAACCACACAACACTACTATGGCGTGACGTCACACCGCAGCCAGATTTCGCTGCTTCCACGGTAATCGCCATCTTGTATGCGAAAACCGATTGCATACGAGATGCAACGAAAGTTACCGAACACAGCCGACCGAGCAGTGCCATCTACATTGCGCAAAATTCAAACGGCAACATACGACCTATCTCTTTTACGTTTTTTTTACGAATAAATGTTTCAGTTTTTTTCACACAATTAAGACTACTTTGTAAGATGAGTTACGTGCACGACAGACATTTATTCGTTGCATACTATTTATGGCGTTACGTTAAAAAAACTTTACCTAAAAGTTCTGTAAGTTTCTCGTGCAATTCCTCTAGAGAGGAAAACATAGGCGCATTCCTGGACAAGTTTACAAAATTCTTGCCTGAACGAAAGTCTGACGTCGACCGATCCATTTTTAGCGGAACTAGGATAACTTCGACATGAATAGAATTCTTTTTTTCAATTCCAACCCTGAAAACTCAACGAATGTTAAATTGCTTAAATAACGTGTCCTTAAGATCGAAACTCGTCGCGCATTATCACCGTATTCAGATGTAGAAAAGCCATTGTGTTTTATTTCAACAAATCTCATCCTCGATAAAGTCGTAACGTCCGGTCTGCATCGAATATTAATACGCTCTTTTTCTATTCGTAGATCGATAGCCAAGCATTCTACGCGCAACGTTTTACGAACATTTTTCACTCGCTATTATAAAAAAAAGATTAGCCCCGAATTTATAATTGAAAGAAAAAGAAAATAAAATTGTCTAATGAACAAGTAAAAAGGGGAGAAACTTTTAGGCGTTGTTTCGAACTAGCACTCCAAAGGGTAAAATTTAAATTCTGTTCACAACGTATTCGTCACAGGAAGGCTTTCTACGTGTTCGAAATCTGTGTCCGATTTTATGGGAAATTTTAAAAGTCGTTGAACTACGCGTCGATTAGAATAAAATTCAGATGTGCCCGAACGAAGAAGACCTTCATAATACGGATCGTATTCCTTTTAATTTTTTCTCGCTATTAACTTAAAAGCGATAATGCTTATCTGTTTCACCAGTGTGCAGTAAGTAAGGTGTTAAAAACACGTCACGTTATTTCGTTCGTTTCGGCAATCAACTCAGTCTGTAACAGATTAAACAAATAAACGAAGACGAGTGTTGTTTTATATGGTACGAATACGTTCGCGAATAAAACGACCTATGAGACTGTCTCAAACTGGTACGAAAGTACATCAGCTCTTGTAACGATACACGAAACACTGGTTGTCGAACGTATTAGAAGGAGGACGATAATGAGTTTGCTCTAACAAGCGTGCAGAACCGGTGCAAAATTTACCTCGACACGATATGTTTGCCATGTGTCGATTGTGTTTTTCGAAAAGTACAAACGAAGGAATAACATGAAAATTACATCACGATAAAAGATCGAAACATTCTTCTTTCGTCTTTAAAAACATTAACCCTTAACTCTCCTTAGCTTAGAAATTACTATTTCAACTTTCCACAGAAATGCCTATGTAACAGAAAAAGTATAACACTTCCATCATTTTTGAATACACTTTCGAATTCGACGCACGTTGATCACAGATTTCTCGTGTTTCAAATTTGTTCCACTTTTACGTAAAATTTACCGAATAGTCTATGTATCATGTTAAACAATCGTGCTTTCGTTTTAAACTCAGGATAATAAGCCACGTAACAAATCGATCAACGTTGCAATTTTCGAAAGCGATAACCGGCATTCGTTACGAGACGTTATCGTTATTGTACTCACAAAAATAATCATCGTAGCTCTTTGTGTTCACGATTTTCTCGTCGTTGGAATTCGTTTCGCAAAGGATAGGCCTGTCCAAATCGAGGGAGGCCCTTCGCACTTTAGTTCGACGTCGCGCGTTCATCCTCGATGACGATCTTCGCAAACCGTTTTCTCACACGACACCGGCTACGATCGCGACAACATACTGTTATTGCCACGTGACATCGGGTCTCGTTGAGTTTACCAACTGAACGTTAAATATAAACGATTCCTCGCTCGTTTCCTGCCTACGTATTTACGCGTAAAAACATCAAACTGCAACGCGGATAACGTTCACCCGTGTCTACAACATTTCGCTATAAAATTTTTTACGACGTCCCATATCTTTCCGTGCTTCGAATGTACGATAGCACGTAGAATTTACAGGTCATTTCACGTATTACTATATTTTTATTCGAGCGCGAGCAGATGTTCGATATACCCCTGTATACCGATGACCCGCTTCGCTCGCGTGTAAGGCGGGTGGCTGGTTTTAGGCGCAGAGGCATAGTTCGTTGCTCCCAGCATGTTTTGGCATTGTAAAAGCGTTCAATGCGTTTAATATAAGCTGCATTATTAGTGACCCGTGCACGTGAACGTAATCAAATGATCCATTTCGACAAAAAGAAAATTTGATACGATTTAATGAAAGTAACACTTATGCCATGTTAAGTCATTCGCGCAGAATAACGAGTGATAAATATATACAGTGACTGGAGCGCGAATGGGTTAATTTGAAGCCTAAAGTTTGATAAAAATAACTACGTAAGAGATTTAATCGATATTCATGATACAAAGCGACCGGTTAACTTTGTAAATTGAATTGGTCGCTATTCGCAGTAATTAGTCATTTTTCGTAAAGACTATTAATGAGACGTTTATGTAGACATTTTTATTAAACTATGAGCTTCAAATTCATATGTGTCATTTTACGATACCTTTGTGTCACGAAGTCCCGATGATTTTCTATGATCCAGAATTAGTTAGAGGAAAAGCCGTTGAGCATTTCGAGAAGCAGATGATTAATAAAGCGTAGTATTCAGAGAGAAAAAACAAGAGGATGCAAAAAAAAGAAATAGAACTCACCGACTCTCTTGTTCACGGCAGTATTGATCATGGAACCAAGCTTGGTGAGGCTAGACTGCCTCATGATGTTGGAGGGGCTCTTCATCCGTTTGGACGGTGGTACCGGAAGCGGGGCGGTCTTGGACCTTGCCAGAATGCCACCGTTTCGGCAGTTTCCGTTTGGATTGGAGCCGGGGGGCCGCTGGGGCGGAGCCCCCCATAGACCCACCACCCCTGCGTGACGCGTGGTGCTACTTCACGAATTTCAACCCTTATCCACCTGTTAGTCTCCCAATAATTTCTAACTTCAACCTCCACCTTGCTTCGTCGCCACTGGAACAATCGAATCATCGCCAACACCGTTATTCAATTAATCGACGATTACGAAGAGAAACATCTTAGTAAAGGTTTATACCGGCGCGTTTAAATTATAAGGAAAATCTTCCCTTTTTTCGCTCGCGAATCAACGCTTCCACCTGTTGGACCTTTGGTCCATCACCCATAAAAATCCCCTTCACGATATGCTTCGTAGCAGCTAGAGAACCCGGAAGAGCTCGCGAATAAAGATCCGCTTTGTATACGACCACTTTCAATCTCGGCTTAAACGTGGCATCGCGTAAAACGTAGACTGCAACAGCGTCAACGCGACCAATTGAGAGACGGCCACGCGAATGCGTTTCTCCTTGGTGCAGGTGTACGATCATTTGACGCGCAAATGCATAAATATGAGCGTCGAAAGGAAAAGAAAGAAGGCAACAGGTAGTCAAACGAATAAATTCATGCAGGTGTGCCATTCTAGAAAGGGTGCATCCAGTTAACTTTTCGAGTTAACGAGGAGCACCGATCGCAAAGAGCGCGAGCGCACATTGCTCTGGTTGTAAAAAGGGATATAACAATTACTTCGTGCTAAATTGAGAGTAATTACAGCAGAAAATAATTCGGGATATAAAACGAAGTTAAGGACTCTTATTTCGGAATTTTTCTGTGAACTGCCGAGTATCAGGGATACTCCATGCAACGACGCTCGATTCAATTTGCGCCCGGCAGGCACACTCGGACCGTAAAGAGTTAACGTCTATGGTAAACGTTAAGAATGCTCGAAAACAAGCAGCAGTTCTCGCGAAAACGTGGATACGACCTTGCCCGAAAAGAACGCAGACGTAGGTACGCGAAGAGTCGAGCTTACGAGATGCAACGCGTGCAACTGATTAGCTGACCTCGGATAACCGACGAGCCGGTATCAGCCTCCGCATTTACCGTTCAAATTACCATTACACCAGTCTCCTGCGTCACGCAGCCCATTAATTCGACGGATGGGATCTCTCGTAGCGATCTAGCCAGGGGAAATTGAAATTTGGTTAAAGCCAGCTTTCCATCGATTTACTTCTCGTCAATTTTGCTCCGGGAAATCGTTCTACTACCCCTGTCTTTTGCGAACATCAATTTTTTTCTGCTCACTAAAATAATCGTCGTGTTCGGAGCGAACTACTTTATCTACCGATCTCTCTCGATACCGGGTCTCGAAATTTCGTAAAAGCGAATTCGAGTAAGCCGAACAAAATGTTCATATGTGATTACGAAGACTAGTGATCGCTTTGTTACGTGACATTTCCAACAACGACGACACGAGTGCAACACCGAAGTAACACGTGCCCAACAAACGATCCACGTATCGTCGGTATAAACTACGACATAATCGGATTATATTCTGCGAAGCTGCTGCAACACACGGTCATCAGTGACATCGATTGTACCTGCGTACATATTTACCGTGACTCAGGTTTGCACGGCGGGTTTATTCGCGTAGTCGTAGCATTTGCCGTACGATAATGCTTTCTGTTTGGGACATGCTGACGCACGTGGCATACAGCCGGTAATACTTTTGTTTTTCACCACAGAATTCTTAACACCTTCTGCAATACCATTGTACCATTACATGCTACCTTGCATTTCTTAAATCAAGGTTCTTACTCGATGTAATCCATCAGTGTTATATTCATAAATACATTCTTATATCACCATATTTCTCGTTAATACAATATCAATATGCTCCAAGTTGTTTAGTTACTCGTGAAACTTTCAAAATACCCGTAACTTTGTAGCCGATAACGTAGAAAATGTTCACTGAGATGCACTGACTGCATATTGCAACGTCGGAATGAATGAACCTTCAGGAACGGAGCAAGGTTAAATCTTTACCACTAATCACTACTGCCGGTTAATCTTGCAATTTAAGCTCGCTTAAGGTCACCGAGCTAATCGGCGAATGGATCAAATTCTCAAACTAAACGATCTTCTCGGTTTTCTACATACGCCGTGACGAGGATTCTTTTACGCACGAAAAGAAGAAGAATACGTTTAATTGGATACAAAAGAAATAAGACACTTGTCTACATACTAACAAGTTAGTACCTTTTGCGAACCTCTAAAGAAATTTGATCTTCCAATACAAAACGCTAACTATCGAAACTTTATTTCTTGTACAAACTATCGAATTAAATTATGAAATAACTGTGGACGAACAATTCCTTTCGATGGGAACCAGATTTAACATCTTTCCTAGATGTGTTTACAAAATCGAGGGATGTAAATGATCGAACTGGTTTGAAATAAAATTTGTTCGCAGCGATAAGACAAGTTTCTTTTAGCAGGTCTGGGAGAATGTTTCGCGAGTATGGATTTGCGAAGAAGAGCAGGGAGGGCGGTTGCGGACGGCTGGTAGTTTGTTAAACTAGGGAGATGGTGGCAGGAGGTTCTTGGCGTCTTGCCAAAGCATTTCCCGGCTGCTTCTTCGGCTCCAAATTCATTCCTTTTGCGTAGGGACACGCAGCATCCCCGAGTTCGATGTACCCGTTTGCCGTCTCTTCCAGACGATAACGATCGAAAAGTATCGTCTCGATGGTTCAAATTTTTAATCGAGAAATCTCTAGCAACCTTTCACAATTTCTAATCGTTAGGAACTGATAATATAGAGGTTCCTTAATTTCAAGCTAATCGTGCGTTGACTCGTAATTACCTTACAAAGTACGCGTTGTACCGAACAGCGTTAAATCGAGTCTTATAGCACTTATAAATTGCATCGCAATGGATAATTGAACGGCAGTTGAAGCATTTAGGAATTAAAGCCGAGGAAACAAAAGGCACTCGAACAACCTGCACTCGATCAGTCGAGCGCGACAAAAAAGAATTCCTCTTTTTCACAGCTGGGGAAACCGTCACGATCAATAATCGCGCATGTAGAGAGTTTAACCTTTCACTCGGCACCTTTAATTATCGCACTCCGATGAGAGGTAATTCAAGCTTTCGTTGAAAGCACGATCAGTCAATTGCCTCGTTTCTTTTTCACGGTCATTGTTTCGGAGAGGAGAAAAATGGTCTGAGATAGGTCGAGATACGAGCTTAACTTGTCTCGATAAGGAGATCCTATTAGAAATCAAAGCCAACTAGGTAAGATTTCCTTTTCGTTCTCGTCGTAACACATGGACACCGTATCGTTCGTGAACTCTTGGCACGATAGTGTGCGCCGTGCTATAAATTTCCTGAATAATGCGTGTCACAGTGGATGCCCGTTGAAAACCTACAAAAACGCACATCTCCGTTGTACGGATTCATCGAGATGGCCTACTGGTACGCTTTTACGATCCCTTTAACATTGAGCGTTGACCCACTATTTCCAGAAGAACATTCATATTTGTCAACCTCGGAGTTGCTCAAGTATCCTTGGCTCTTTTGATGCTCAGATTTTTGGGTATTTAGGTGGCCGAGTACTTGATACACGTACTCGAATCCTTGAATCTTCGAATTCGGACCTGGTCCTGGTTTAAACGAGAACCGAACCGCGATGTTTCGGAAGTTTTGAAACAATGTATGCAAAGAGAAATTGATCGCACGGAACGAGCGTGCGTCACGGTACTTCTAGTCCTAGTTTAATAAATGAAAATTGCTGGCGAGCCATCCGGTGGATCGTGAGAAAAGATTGCGCTTGTTGTAGCCTTCGCTTTCACAGGGCTGCCCCTTTTACAAGGACGAGAGACGTGTACGACGAGCCGAGGAGAATAATAATGTCGGTGTGGTAATTCCGTTGATACCGGACCGACGATTTCCTCGGAAACCGACTACGTAATATCGAAAGCACTGGGGCATCGTTTCATGATAACTGGCATCACAATCGTTTCTCATGGATGTCGTTCCACCATCTAATACAGTGAAATTGCTCGTTTACGACTTTCTTGACATGTTCGTGATTAACGACGTAGCAAACGATCGTAAGCTTATCAATCGTTGTTGTACCGTGCCGTACTACGTGCGATCGTTTCTACTGTGTGTGACAACATGTTGATACGTTCGAGATTGACGATGCACCATTATCGCTATTGTTATGACGTTCATCGTCATCGGAGACGTCGATGGCACAAGGTTCTATCACAATCTTAAGAATATTGCAATGTTCATTATATCGTTAATAGTCACTATCGTGTACTACGATAGCTGTAGCAATTATCGAATAGATAGTATCGCTATTATTATGAAGTTCGAGATTGATGACTGTATTCTCATTTTATTAGTAATCTATTGCTAACCACTTTATGCACCGGTATATTGTATGCAACCTACGCTATTATACGTACGGCTACTTTCGTTATGAAAATAAACATGTACTCCGCATAAAAGTAATGCTGTAACAATTCAGTGGTACTGAAATGATGCAATGAAAACTTTTCAAACGTAATTGGTTGGTAAATTTAACGAGGATAAATTTGAACCCATCGCGAACGGTACTGCGATCGATATTGGATGATAGATGGTAGTTACGTTGGAATTAATGCACGATTTACATAATCGCGGGACAGTTCTTTCTTATTGGCGTCGATCGAACATATGAACGGAAATTGCAGCGTTTTTCATCTACTCGACGCTTGAAAAGTACAGTTAGTTTTTTATCTCTTTCGTAAATCAAATTCGATTTACCAGATGATTGAACTTAAGGATTTACAAGACAGTTTTAATCGACTGAAAATGTTGGGTAATAAGGGACAGCGTCAAAGGTTGGTCTCGAAGTAACCTGATTTCAGCTTTGGTCGCGGCAAAGGAAAAAGGGCCAACGAAGAAGCGAACGACTCTCGGCGAGTTCGAGATGGTCGCGAAACGGAGCCGTGTCATCTGTGTGGGTTAGCTTTTATTTTTCGGCTGACGTTCGTAAGTGGTTATAGCTAGGCTTTTATATACACACAGGGATGAGAGGTTCAGCGCCGTCAGCGATGTAAGAGACTCGACGCTTCTGCCAGTTACTCTGCAAGCCGGTGGCCTAGATAATTCGAGTGCTAGGTCTTGTA